GATGATGGTTTAGGATGATGGCCTAGGATGATGGCTTAGGATGATGGCTTTCTGGCATAGTGTCTTCAACATGGAGAACCGTGAAGAAGCCAGGAAGCCAGCCAACCCTGTGCACCGCCTTCCCCACGTGCCTCCCAGCCGACTAGAAAGACCTTTAACGTAAGAGCTGAGGATAGTTCAGTCAGTAGCTCTGTCTAAGATTAAAGTGCAAGGACCTGAATTAGAGCCCCAGAATGCCTGGCAAGCTGGCACCTTGGAATCCCAGTGCTTGGCCCTGGAGGCCGGCTGGCCCCAGCGAAACCCTGGGTCAAAGGAGGTGGACAGAGTTGAAGACAATGGCCACGCTGGCCTCAAGCTGCCACGCACACATGAAACGAGCACGAGAATAAAGGGGGAAAAGGTCCGTGACTCCGAGCCAGTGTGGGGCCACTCGGGCAGAGACAGGAGTTCAGGATGAATGTTAGCAACATAAGTGACCAACATGGGCATCTAAGACCTTCTCTCAAAAACAAGTGTGAGAGTGCGTGAGGCTGGAGGATTGGGAGGTTGTAGCAATCTGGGCTACATAGTGAGACCTGGCTCAAAAGGAGCGGGGCCACGGGTCTGGCACAGTGGTAAATCACCAGCGTATATACAGTCATGGGGCTCAAGCCCCAGCCCTCCCACAAGCGCACACACACACACACACACACACACACACACACTCACACACAGAGCTGACTTCAAAGTCTGTAACAACGTATGCATCTGCTTAGATTATTAACTCAAATCATCTGTCATCTCCCACACGTCATTGCAGGAAGTCACCCAGCCCTGACTCCCAGATGTTAGCACTGAAGACGGGAACCGGCCTTACTGCGCACACAGCCCCTGGGCCTCCTCTGTCCTTGTTTCATTCTGTCTGGCACACCAGTGCTGGCATCTGGGCAAACCAATAGGAAAGGCTGGAGACCAGAGAAAGGAGCAGCAGAGGGCCTTGGGAACCTTGTGAAATAGTTTGCACATGGTTCGGGCAGGACTGAAAGGGGAGGAGAGCAGGCTGCAGATGGGCTCAGTGGGAGAGCATTTGGGCCTGGGTTCCTGGGTTTCATACCCAGAACCACTTTGGAAAAGTCAGTAATAGTTGAGGATGATCTTCGCAGCCTTCAAGGGGCTGAGTAATGCTCCCGAGGCCTCTGCCACTATCTCCCTGGGCCGTGCCGTGCCGTGCCGGCTTTCTCCTGTATGGTGCGGTCAGTCACTGCTGGGGCAGCGCCTGATCCCCGTGCTCATCCTGCTTCTACAACCTCTAAAGGCAGCAAGAGTACAGCGGGGCGTGGCTGGCAACCCTGCTCTGGGGCTGGCTGGGCACACTCAAACAATCCTTTCTCACAAATAACGCAAGGCCAGCCTTCCTGGAGGGCCGAGGTCGCCTGTGGTGGGCCTGCTTGCCCACGTCAGGTTCCTGGGTGTCACCGTGGCCGTGCTGGCTGGGTGCACACGTCACGGAGCAGCCCCTAGCAGCCACAGAGCTGGGGACGTGTGTCTGTCCAGTAGGTAGGTGTTGCCTTTCTTCAGGGCTATGGCGCAGAGGCCGCTTAAGTTTCAGCAGGGCCACGGCCCGTGATGTACCCCCTCAAGTGGCTTGCGTTTCTCGGGGTTAGCCACTTTTGCCTCTTCAGGTGTACATGTGTGTGGGCCTATGTGTGAGGTGACTGGGTGCAAGAGAGCATGTGGCCTCTTGGAGTCACCCAACGTGGGTCCTCTGGGGCACCTTCTAGTCAGGCTTTCTTGGTTTTGAGACAAGGTTTCTCTGCGCGGCCCTGCTGCCCTGGACTCGCTCTGTAGACCAGGCTGGCCTCGAACTCGGACTCTGCGCTGGGATCAAAGGTGTGCCACCACCACCCGGCTTGTGGCACGGTGGTGCCATTAAGCACCATTGGCTTAAGGCTCCAATGAAGGGCCGTATTCACTGTCAGGGTTACTCTGCTGAAAACGCCCTGGTCTGCAGCCACACAGCCTCCTTGGGCTTCTCCACCCGTCCCTTTGGTGCAGCCGATTCTCACTTGGTTTTGCAAGGATAAAGAATCTTACCGTCCTAACCACTTATGGGAACAGGGCCTGGCCCTGCGGTCTGCTGCTTAGGCCTCTCCTGCAGGACAGGCGGGTGGAGGCGCCGCCCATGACTGAGGAACTGTGGTGGGAAACCAAGCATGTGAGCCCTGTGAGAGGGCTCGGCCTCTGGGCATCAAAGAAGGTCATAAGCTTTGTGTGCCAAGTGCTTTCACCTGCTGGACTCTCCTACCAAGACAGACAGACAGACAGTGCAAGGCTTGGCTGGGCCCTTACCGACTGTGCGGCCTCACCCCTGCTCTCCTGAGCAAGATCAAGCCACGGTGTGCCAGGAGGCCCGTTCAGCGGGCAGGTGTGGCGCTCCCCGCCCGCTCCTTCCGTCTCCAGCAGTGTCCTTCTAACAGCAGAAACTGGGATAACCTTGGAGGGTCAGAGACAACGCGCACACACGCCCTCACCGGGGTCGGCCACCCACCTCCAGAGAAGGCCTCGATGGGTAGCACAGGACACGATGCTGAAACTTCAATTCACTGACGGCCCTGGGCTGCTCTGTCACCAAGTGTCACTCTAGGGCCTCCCTGTGGGGTGTGCTCTCCAGGACTAAGTTACCCAGAATAACCCCGGGCATGGGCCCGTCATCCCAGCTACACTAGGGCCCACAGCCTGCCTCGGCTAGAGCCCAAGGGCTGGGCCGTCAGCAACCCTGACCTCAACGGCAGGGCCGGGACAGCGTGTGACCGGGCAGCGCCTAGGGGCGCGCGTGGGGGAGTGCTCAGGACCCGGGCCCAGCTCAGCGCCTCACCGCTGCTCGCCAGGCCTGACCCGAGGCCGGCCGCCCCAGCAATCTAGTTTGAGAACTCCAGATGGCTTTACACCTCAGGCCAGAAATGGAAGGCCAGGGCTGAGGAGCCCACTACTGTCTGTCTGTGTCTGCACTGCCCCAGTAAACAGACTGCTCCAAGGCCTTCCTCAGGCTTCGGGGCTTCTGGTGGCACCGCACGCTGCCTCACCTGGCAGGTCGGGTTCAAACACCCACGACCAGACCCTTCTCTTCAGTCCAACCGAGCGCACTCACTACCTGCCAGGTTCTCCCAGGCTGCTGGGAACGCAGGAAGTCGGGTCCAGCGCCTGCCTCCCCATCCCCCAACAGCAGGTGCTGGCCGGCAGACAAAGCACACCGACCTCCAAACTCAGTCTTTATTGACCGTTCCATCTGGAGACCACCGGGAGAGGGGGGTCCTTTCCACAGCCAGCCCCTCAGAAGAGAGAGAGTTAGCCGCAGGACTCGCGGGGTGGGAGAGGATACACTATGTACACAGGTTTGGGGCCGGCGCCGGGTGGCGAGGGTCAAGAGCGCAACGGGAGCCGGTCAGCCGCTGATCTGGACGCCCTCGGCCTCGGCGAGGGGGTAGATCTCGATGGCCTCCACCAGGGGCAGGGCCTCCACCGCGGTCTCCATCACGGCCAGGCCCACGGCGGCCTCCGCCTCCGCCAGCTGCTGCCGAACCGCGGCCTGCTGCTGCTGGTGGGTCTTGCGGTGCTTCCAGAGGTTGGAGAAGGAGCGGTAGCTCTTGCCGCAGTCGGGACAGGAGTAGGGCCGCTCGCCCGTGTGGATGCGCCGGTGCTCCGCCAGGCGCATGGAGATGGCGAACGCCTTGCCGCACACCTCGCAGGCGAAGGGCCGCTCGCCCGTGTGCAGCCGCCGGTGGTCCTTCAGGTGGGTGCTCTGGCGGAAGGCCTTGCCGCAGTCCGGGCACGGGTAGGGCCGCTCGCCCGTGTGGATGCGCCGGTGCACCTGCAGCGACGTCTCGGTGCTGAACAGCTTCTTGCAGTCGCCGCACTCCAGGCCCCGCCTCCGCGCAGGCGCCGCGGGGGCCGCCCCGCCCAGGGCCGCGGGGGAGGGCCCGGCGGGCGCACGCGCGACCCTAGAGGCGCGGGGCGCCGGGGGCTCCTTCGCCAGCACCTCCCCGGGGCCCGCGGCGGCGTGGGCGGCCTCGTGGGCCTGCAGGCGCGCGGCCGAGCCCACCTTCTTGCCACAGGTGCCGCACTCGAAGCGCCGCGGGGCCTGGGCGGCGGCGGCCGCGCAGCGGTGCTCGCAGAGCCGCAGCGAGGACGGGAAGGCGGCCCCGCAGGCCGGGCAGCGGTGCGGCTGGCGCCCGGCGTGCACCACCAGCTGGTGCACCTCCAGCAGGCGGCGCAGCAGGAAGGAGCGCGGGCACTCGCGGCACTTGTAGGGGTACTCGCCCGTGTGGTGGTAGCGGTGCATCAGCAGGCGGTAGGGGCGGTGGAAGCGCACGCCGCACTCCTGGCAGCGGTAGGGGAAGTGCTGGGCGTGCACCAGGCGGTGCTGCCGCAGCGTGGAGCTCTGCGTGAACGCCTTGCCGCAGTCCCCGCAGCGGTAGGGCCGCTCCCCGGTGTGCGTCAGCCGGTGGCGGGCCAGGTTGGCCGGGGAGTTGAAGGGCTTGGAGCAGTCAGGGCACGAGAAGGGCCGCTCGCCCGTGTGCGTGCGCAGGTGGTTCCGCACGTGGGACTTCTTTTTGAACATCTTGCCGCAGATGCTGCACTTGTGGCGCCGCTCCAGCCGGTGCACGAAGCGCTGGTGCCGCGTCAGCTGCAGCGCCTTGCCGAACTCGCGGCTGCACAGGAGGCAGCGGTAGGTGCCCGGGGCCGCGGGCTCCGCAGCGGGCTCCTCGGGCGCCGGCAGCTCCGGGGCCTCCGGCGCCCCGGGCTCCGCGGGGGCCGGCTCGGGGAGGCTGCCGGCCGGCTCCTCGGGCGGGACGGGCGCGGTGGGCAGGGGGACGCCCCCGGCGCCGTGGGTCCGCCGGTGGTAGAGGAACTTGGTGAGGTTGACGAAGGTCTTCCCGCAGGGGCACGAGTGCAGAGGGTTCGGGGTGTGCGCGCGCCGGTGCGCCAGCAGGAGCGCCTCGGTGCCGAAGGCCAGGCCGCAGTCCACGCACAGGAAGTGAGACTCGCTGCTGTGGTCGCCCAGGTGCTGGTCCAGGCTGGAGGGGCTGGGGAACACGCGGCTGCACAGCGGGCACTTGAAGACCCCCTCCCGGTGGCTGCGGAGGTGCTGCTGCAGCTGGCGGGGCGACAGGAAGAGCTGGTCGCAGGCCGAGCACAGCAGGTCCTGGGCGCCCGCGCCCCCCGGCTCCCCGCTGTTCCTCCGCGGCTTCCGGCCCCGGCGCTCCCGTGCCACGGCCTCGCCGTTGCGCAGCTCGTAGCTGTGGTCAGAGGCCGGCAGGGGGTCGGGCTGAGAGGCCGCCTCTGCAGGCGAGGGCCCCAGGGGCTCCTGCTGGGCCGCGGGCTCCCCGGGCTCGGGGGCGGGGGGCGGAAAGTGGGTGGCCTGGTGCTCCAGGAAGTCGGCCGGCATCTGGAAGAGCTGGGAGCACTCGGAGCACTTATAGAGGAGCAGCTCCAGCTCCGTCACCACCTCGGTGGTGGCCGCCGTGGAGGGCACGGCTGCTCCCTCCCCACCCTCTTCTGCTTTCCGGTAGGAATGCTCCACAGCCACTCGGGCCTGGCCCACAGGAGGGCCCAAGACAACCGGGGACCCCAAAACCACCGGGGCGGGAGCTTTGGGGGGCGTGGCCCTGAGGTGCGTCTGGCGGTGCGTCAGCCACATCTCCTGGCTGGCGAACAGCGCCTTGCAGTCCACACACTCGTAGTGGATGGCGCTGGAGCTCAGCGGGGGCCCCTTGGGCGAGGGCTCGGCCGGCGCCGCCTCCTGGGGCGCCAGCATCTTCAGGTGCAGCTCCTGGTGCTCCAGGAGCTGGCTGGGCGACAGGAGCAGCTGCCCACACTCCAGACACTGGTACTGGCTCTCCTGTATGAGGGTCTGATATAGGCCTGTGCCCGACGCTGCCTCTGTGGCCACTGTGACCCCAGGGTCAGCCACGCCCACCAGCTCAAAGTGCTGCTGCGGCACGTGGGAGTTCTGGTGCACAAGCACCTCCTCCAGGGATCCGTAGAGCTGGTTGCACTCAGAGCAGACATAGCGGTGCTCAATGTACAGGACGGTCTCCTCGCTCTCCTCCGTCATGGCAGCAGCAAGGCCCTGGGCTGGCAAGGGACGGCGGGGACAGGTCAGTCCTCAGGGACTGTCACCTCCACCTTCTCACACCAGACTCACTTCCTCCTCCCACTTCTTGATTACACTTCTCCGCTCCAATGCTCTTCCTAAAATTCCTTCCTTCGCCAACACAGCAACAGCCAACAAACTTTTCCAATGGTCTCTTCCCGGGACCCTACACACACACACACACACACACACACACACCCCGTCGCCTGTCTATCAACTTGTATCCGCCTCCACCCACCAGATCCTGCCATCTGTTCCTCCCCACCTCAGAACAGGTTCCCAAGGCCCTGTCCAGGGATGGGACTCCAATAACACAGCCCTCCTTCCAACTCCTTACCATCACAGGCCAGCACTCCGGGTAGGCCAGCACTACCCGGGGCCCTCCCGCTCTGGGCCTGCTTCTCCCAGCTGCACGCCTATGTCGATTCTGCTTTCTTGTAGGTTCCCAAACTTCCTCTTACACCGGAGCACTCAGACCTTGCACAAGCAAACACTTTGTACTCTATTTTAGGCTCCAATCTCCAGATTTTCTCTGGCCTAACCCATCCCCACCTTAACTACTTCCTGATACTCAGTCTCTCCAAACCAGTTCAAACTGAGCATCAAGACCTTCTCAGGTGGGCGGTGGGGGAGCACGCCTGTAATCCCAGCACTCAGGGAGGAAGAGGAGGGCAGATCTCTATGAGTTCAGGTCTAGTAGCCTAGTCTACAGAGCAAGTTCCAGGACAGCCAGGGCTACACAGAGAAACTGTCTCAAAAAACCAAAGGGAATGGGGGGCCTCCTTTTTAAAAGGCACATCTCCACACAAAAGCCCAATCCTTCACACCTGGACTTTTCCCAGCCTTCTCAAAAGCCCCTAGAGTATCCAAACACCTTTCCCTTGAATGCCCAGACACCCGTTCCAGTGACATAACTCTTTTTGAGACAGCTTTAACTCATCTGGGGACGCCTGTGTGCCTCCCCCCCCCCAACACTATCCTTTTTGGTAAAAAGGTCCAAGCCAACTTTAAATCATCCCGTCCCAGTAGCCCCTTTCAGAGTATCAACCCCAACTTTTTTCTTTGCGAAAAGACCCTAAATCCACCCTAACTCACTCCAGGAACTTTCAGATCCCCACTTCACAGGGACTGAATTTCTCCTTCGTGCGTGATCCCCACATCGTTATCTTGTCCAGGGCTATTCAGCCTAACCTTTCCCCTGTCTCCTTCGGGGTTCCAATATCTCTCTTGCATTAGTCCCATTAGTATATCAAAAAGAACCTCTCTTCTTCAGACATAATCCTTCTCACCCACAGCCCCCTAAATTCCTACCTCTCTCTGCCCAACTCCACCCAGGACTGCCCAAATACTCACTCTGGCCTACTTACCTATACCCACAGCAATCCTCCCCCTCCAGCTCAACCTACGAATACCCACAAGAACATAAAGACCGCTGTCAACACTTCCCGGGTGTTCAACCCCCACGGGTTTATCGATCTTCCAATCAATACAAGCCCATTTCGCACACCTGGATCTCTCCCTTAGCGCCAAAGGTACCTCAAACCCTTCTCTGCCTCAGTTCTTTCCAGGCAGAAGAAATCGATTTTCCTCCCTGCATGAATTACCTCCCTTCTCGGGCCACCTCCCCCGCCCGGCACCCAAGAGTCCTCTAACCGTCCCCTTTCGACCCCGGACCCAGCCCAGCGCACCCACCCGCGGCCCCGACACCCGTGCAACCAGAGATCCCTCCACCGTGGCAGCTCCGGGACCTCCCCTTCCCGCCAAGGTCGGCCCCGGCCCGCGCCCTGCCCGTCCTCACTCAGCCCCGCACACAACTCCAGCCCTCTACCCGACCCGCCGGCCCGGCCCGCGCGCCCGCCCGCCCGGCGGCCAACGGCCGCTCCGCCCTCCGCACCCGGGGCGCGACCCTCCCGGCCTCCAGCGTGCAGGCCGGGGCCGGAACCGGGGCTGTGCGCTCCCGCGGGGGGACTCACCCTCCTCGCCGGCCCCGGGCCGCGGCTCCCTTCGCACCGCCACTCTAGCGCCGCGTCCTCTCTAGCGCCCGTCGTCTCGCCTGCTCCGCACCCTCCTCTTCGCCCGCGGCCTCCCTCGGCAACGCCCCGCCCACCTTCCGCCGCGGCCGCCGCGCAGGCCGCACCGCGCGCCCAATCGCCGGCCGGCCGGCCCTGCCGCTACGCCAATCGGCGCTCAGGCCTCCGAGGCCTCGGCCAATAGGACGCAGGGGCGGGACCACGCCGCGCCCCACCAATCCCCGAGCAGTATTCCCCCACGGGATGGGTAGCGCCCGCCCCGTGGCGCTCCGGCGGGGCGGCGCGGTGACGTCGGGAGGCCGCGCGGAGCTGCAGGCGCCATCTTGGGGCGCCCGGCCGCGTCGGCGCAGGGCGTTCGGGCCGAGGGTAGGGTGTGGAGGTGCGGCGTGCCGGGGAGGCCGGCGAGCTGCAGCCCGGGAAGCCCCAGTCGGCGCGGAAGGGGGGAACACGGCCGAAAGACCTTTGTAGTATTGTCATTATCATTAAGGGGTGCGGGGTGGGAGGGAAGCGGGATGTTAGGACGCGGAGTCTGGAGGAGCGGGACAGGAAGTGAGGGGAAGCTTGGTTAGCACGGCCCTGAGCAAGAGCCGAGCTCATGCGGTGAAGGGCCAGAAGAGACAAGTGTGCCGGCTCCGTAGGGCATCGAGGCAGTTTGCCTGTTGTCCCGAGACTTAATGTTGGCTCTCGTTATGTAACCGCCCGAGTGGGCCTCGATGGAAGGCGCGCACCAGCCCTCCTTCGGGTGACTGCCCTTCCACACAGTTCGGGGCACGGGAAGGCCTGGGCCAGCCGCGGTTACCTAGAAGAGACCCCGAACAAACAAAATACAGGGCAGGTCGCCAGTGAGACGGGCGGGCTCGGAAAGCCACCCGCCGAGCCTGCTCCTGAGTTCTAGCTCTGGGACCCACCAGGTGGAAGGAGAGAACTGCCTCTTGAAAGTTCTTCAAGTTTTGCTTTGGGAGCAAGTAGTCCTACCACCGATAGGCATGTTTTCAGGGGGCTCGGGCCGCAAACCAGGAGGACCGGAGGTCAAATCTGGGCACCCATGTGAGTCAGGTCCGCGGTGCTTCCGTCGTAGCGCTCCGGAAGTGGGGACCTGCAGATCCCTGGAGCCTGCCGGCCGGGCAACCTAGCCGTGTCGGTGAGCTCCAGGATCAGTGAGAGACCCTGTCTCAAAAATAAAGTGGAGGTTGGCCCCTCCTGGAGCTGAAAGGCCAGTGTGTTCTACATAATGTGTTCAAGGCCAGCCAGGGTTACACATAAGAGACCTTGTCTTCAAAACCAAAAAGTAAAGTGGAGAGCCAGTGAGATGGTTCAGCTCAGGTCCTGGGAACCACAAGATGGAAGGAGAGACCCGACTCTTGGAAACTGTCCTCTGACTTCTGCACAGACCGTGATGCGCATGACACGTCTAAATAAAAGGTGCAGTGGACAGGGACTGAGGAAGATGGCCAGGATCTACACTGGCCTCCACACAAGTATACCAAAGTTTCCTGGCAGCTTTCAGAGGTGCGCTTGGTCAGACTCGGATGAGCCTCAGTGTGTGTCATCTCCCCCATCTGATGCCAGACAAAACAAATGACTAGGGGACTGAACACAACAGGCCTGACTCCTCAGCGTGTGTCCTCCTGTTGGTGTCTAACTGGATGTCCCTAACTTCTCACCAGACTCCCTAACGGCACAGCACACCCACATGTTTAAACCAGGCTGCTTGGCCTGACCCCTGGCCCTGGCATTTCCTAGCTGTGACTCTGGGCAAAACAACTTTACCGTGTCTCCGTGTCTTCTTCTCTGAAAGGGGATGGCAGTCTTTGTCCCAGCGTTATGAGACACTTAAGTAAACTGCCATATAGAACTCTCTATCTAGCTCTGGCCGCCCTGGAACAATCCGTGTAGTCTGGGCTGGCTTGAGGTTATAGCTTACCTTCTTAGGCCGCTCCCTGTAAACCCGCTTGGGCATCCCAACTTAATTTGGGCTGCCTAGGTCCTTACCCTGCAGAGGAAACAGGCCCGGTCAGTAGCACTGGGCAGGGACTTCTGGGACAGATTATGTTCAGAGAGGGTGGATGGCTACAGCCCTGGATCAGCAGAGACCCAGAGGCAGACCGGACATCAACCCTCGCAGGATAAGAAGGCACACACAATCTGGTCACGTTCGTCAGGCACGTCCCACAAACTCAGCTCGCCATGCCAGACCTGGTATAGTCTAGAGTTGCCACGTGCCACCTGTGTGTGCGAGGCATGTGGTCACATGTGCTGGGGGCTGCACGTGAGTGTCAGCGTCTCACGAGCACGGGGGTGGTAGTGAGTCACGGGCTCAGCCTTCAGCGCCAACTGTCATGTTCCTTCCCCCCAGACTTCACCCCCACACCTCCCCCCCA